CTTCTTCTTCTTCTTCTTCTTCTTCTTCTTCCCCTTCTCCTTCTCCTTCTTTCCTCAGATCTTATACTATTACTATTGTATTGTACACCGTACATAAATCCAACCAACTCACGAGGTAATCCCCAGAAATCCCAGAGATGCCATATCAACAATTAGATGATCGAATATTTAGCATTCAACATCCAGCATCTAGCATCCGCCATTCATTCGTCTCGAAATCGTAAACAACACAGATGATTGAATGAATGAATAAATAGATAAATAAATGAATGGACAGTCATCCCACATTCCTCTCCTTACTTTCTCTCCCGTTTTCCTGCTCTATCTCCTCCCTCCCTCCTCGGTAGTCCAATATCCCAAGAGAGCATATCAATCAATCTGAACATCCTATATCCTACATTCGATATCTTGATTTGGGGCGAGGAAATCGGAATTAGAAATTGAACTTAACTCTCTTGAAAGGTTTAAAAACAGTGTTTAAGAAAGACACATGGACAGATAGATCGAGTTTTTCCTTTCTAGTACCTCCTAGTCTTTCTTTCTTTCTTTCTATCTATCTTTCTTTCCTCCTACCCATTTTAAATTTTCCGAGTTCGAATTCGGTACACAGCATCAGCCGAATATTTTACCCCTTCTCTTCTCTTCTCTTCTCTTCTCTTCTCTTCTCTTCTCTCTCCTCTATTGGGTTACCCCCCCTTACATATCTACTCACTCGACCCACTACTTACTCTAAAGTCCAGACCGTTTACCTCTTCCACATCCGAATACTCTACACATAATAAACTATTTTCCTTTCACTCCTGCAAATCTAGTAGATGGAGATGTAGATATACGGGAAGGAGATTCAGTTGATTGTACACTTAAGATTTAGAGTTTGAGATATTGGGTTGGGTTGTCGATGTTGATGTTGATGTTGGATATATGTGGGTGTACATGAATATGAATATGAATATGAATATAAATATAAATACGAACACGAACACGAACTTGAATCTTCATCTGCATATTCGTATGAAATTAACGTTGCACCACCACGGCGACTAGGTGGCAATACACAGACGCATACGCATACACACAATAATTACCAACTCGTAGATTGGGGAAACAATGCACTATCAGACTCATCGTCTTCAAGGATACAGGTATAAACGGGCTATAAGTGTAAGACACAAGAGGACCTGAGGAAGGTTGTCACAACAAAGTCGAAGGACATCCCAGAGGAAATAAGTTTTGATTGTTCTTCATGGAGTTAGATACGTATAAGCACATCGTATAGTCAGTGTAGCATTAGCTATGGATAGACAGAATCGATTATAAATTTATTACTACTACTGTAGATGTTGATGTTGACATTTGATATTAAGCCGATAAAAAGTAGACATCGATAGGAAGGTAGACTTATGAGGGATTTGAAATATTAAGGTTTAGTTCAAGTGTGGAATCAATGAGTAGTAAGATTAATTAAAAAGAGATGGGATAGTATAGGAAGTGGGCATGAAGATGGTAGGGAATTGGTATTGCTGGTGGGCAAGTAAGCTGATCTGGTTGTTCGGTGTCTTGATGTTTTAGGGATATTTGGTTGGATTGTCATTTGGTGGATGTGATATTCATCGCGGTTATGTTGTTACAGAGAAAGAAAAATAAGAAAGGACGAGAGAAACGAAAAGGGGGAAAGGGGGGAAGAGAGGAGATCTGTGAAGCGACAACACCGCCGTGACTTCATTTCTTGAGATGAAATGAAATATTTGAAAGTAATAAACAAAAAGCCTTCTGAACGAGAAACACGGTTACTATGTGCTATATACTCATCTCCAAGAAGAATCCTAACACCTAGGATCTGAAATAAGTATTTCATTCTTCACAGTCCAACTAGACATTGGGAGATTATATATACATTTTTTTTATTTTACCTTCTCTTCGCAGTTATATCATAGAAAACAAAGACTGATGTTATCATTTTATTCTCCTAATAGTATGAGGAGTCAAATTATATAAAAAGATGTGTATAATATTGATGAGAGGAAGATTAAAAGGTGTTGATATACTCTATAACAACCCTTTGATGGAACCACTTACGAAATAGATGAATCCCTCTTGGATGGAATCAAATACTCAGAAAACTTCTTCGTCTATAATAAACTTGAATGCTAAAATTAAAGAAAACATAACTGAACTGTTGATGAAGCAAACTAGAAACGCTTTCCGGCAGGATATGCAATACAGGAGTATAAAAGATGTCAAGAAGGTAGTGGAGGAGATATGCCATCATCCACCTCACACAGAGTTGGCGATAATAGTACGAAAGGAGTCGCTAAGACGAGTAAGAAGATCCAATTAAAAATCCCTACACTGAGGGATACCCTTTCTCAGAAGAAAATGTACAGATGATAATCAGGAACTTGTGTGTTTTGTTTTTCTGGATGGAATTGAGGTTGGAACTTGGGTGGTGGGACTTTGATAAATGACGACATGATTGATTTGTGCTTTTTGATACGGAAGTCAATAGCTCGATATCCTTTTGGGGGCAAGTGGAGGGAGGGTAGGATGAGATATCTGAAAGCCTTTGGATCTTCTGGTAGATCAGGACATGAATGATTTGATTTGAGTTCATGAAAGATGATAGGGTTAATGTGCTCTCCTCACCAGTTGTCCAATGGTACAAGAGAAGAACATTTTATCCATGTTTCAATCTTGGATATAGATTGGGATATGAATATTGTAGATTAGTATTGGAAAATCCCTCAGGTTTGGGCTTCACCGGCTTCATCAGTTGAATTCGATTTTCGACGAGGGAAAAGTGGAAAGCGGACGATGTTGATATTTCACTCTTGTATGAAGACTGTGTGCTCTGAGTTAGAAAGGACAATGCCTGTTGATAAAACTGTATGTTTGAAACCTTCAAACGATGTATTGCATAAGACATCGCAGGCTTGGTATCCATTAGAGAAAAGGATGGTTGGTTATTACTCGTTCTTTCGCCAAGTGGGATTTTGGATGTTGGGATAGGATAGATGCAAAAACGTGATTTGAATTTTATTCAACCCTCAGCTCTGGAATAAAATCCACTTCTGTGCGCTGGACGGTATGAATCGCACATCATACCAAAGAAATATGAATGATCGAAACCTCTGAGACCATTGTCAAATGCGACTTGGGAATTCTCGAATAAGGTCTTTCCTGAGGTACATAAATATTACCTAATAATGCTCCTGATATGCACTTGGGCTAGGTGATTTGGTTGGTGGTAGATAAGTGATAGTCGATAGTAGATTGTCCGTTGTTTGTACTTCCTGTGCAGACAGTCTTGCATTGATGTTGCATCGCTGGGTACGGAAGAGTAGGTACAAGTGAGTAGCTGAGTAGGTAGCGATGACATGGTTTTGTGTGGAAAAGATGAAAAGACATGGGATTGGGAAGAAAGCTGGTATCCGACTGGTTTGGTGTGGAGGACATACCTCCGGTAATGTGTTTAAACTTTGAAGAGAGAACCCACGAGAGGGGTTTGATCTTATTATTAGCTACATTGTACTCGGATTGATGTGTACAGGTAGGGAGGTACGCTGATTGGTAGAGAGAGGGTAGAGAGAGGGTAGAGGGAGGGTAGAGAGAGGGTAGAGGGAGGGTAGAGAGAGGGTAGAGAAAGGGTAGTGAAAGGGTAGAGAAAGAGTAGTGAAAGGGTAGTGAAAGGGTAGTGAAAGGGTAGAGAAAAGATAGAGAAAGGGTAGACAGAAGTGAGTGAAACCCCTAATTTGGTGTATATTATGTCGAGTTGTTGTTGTTGTTGTTGTTGTTGTTGCTGTTGCTGTTGCTGTTGCTGTTGCTGTTGTCGCTGTTGTGATTTGACAATGAAGTTATTGATCCCAAATTATGCCCAATTTGGATGATCAGGTTGGTTAGGTGGGTTTGTTGTTGATCAACTGGTCAAGTTGGTTCTTAAAGTCTACTGTAGTGAGGGTAAAATAAGACATAGTAAAAGCTTATTAATACAACGGATTGGGCTATTATTACTAATACTCCCGCCAATCCTCAAGTTCGCCATGCCTACTGGGTAGATGTTGAGTAGACGGTACCGAATGATTGGGTTCTCGTATCCTCACTTCCATCCATCCGTACATCTATAAATGTCTAGAAGACCAACACACAACCGACGACAAGGTGACAAGGTGACAAGGTAACAAGGTGACAAGGTTATGATTCTAGAACTTAACAGGAAAGAGCCAAAATCAACAAATAACAGCCTAAGGTTGGAATGAAGAAAAGCCCGGTTTAACACGCACGCCATAATTCTTACCAATTGAATTCTCTTCAGAAAACCCCCCCAGTCAACGAGCCAGCCCAAAGGAAAATCCCCCCAAAAACAACAACAAAAGGTTCTCTCTAACTTCCAACGCCCGCCAGATCATCCATTCATTTTCCCAATCACCAAACTTTCTCAAAATCATCCAAGCTAAAGCATCGCACGCGCTCTTCCACCAATCATTGCCTCAATCGAATTGGAGATCCAATCCCCTCTCCCATAGAGCCAAGGTATCTGCCCCCGCTCATATCAGAACCTAGCTTGTCATTATAGGAAAAAGCGTGGAAGGGTCCAACTCCATTTTTCCCACTCCTCTTACCGTTCCGTGGCGATTGCTGCGACTGTGGTCTCACGCTTGTAGCACTTCTACCCATTCACATACTGAGATCCATTTCCCCTGCTTCTTACACAAATAACTTCTCCGTACCAGTCAACTAACTACCTACCGGTTGCATTCAAACTTCTGCTGCTTGCCGACCCACACCTTCTGAAAGACCCTATCATACCAAAAGCGGATACAAGATCTCTTCCGGTAGGCAGTTCGACAATAATGTCAATCAAGTAAGTAAATAGTCGTCTCTGGTGGTTTCTGTAGCATAGTATTTCATTGCCGTCACTTTCTTCTTTCCTTTTCTTCATTCTCAATTTTCAATTCTATCTTCTCTCTCGATTTCTTGTCTGTTTTACTTCCACTTTCTCAATCATGTATGCTTTTCACCAAGAACAGCATCTTTATGCCTTGCATATGGCACAAGAAGAAATGCTAAAATCTACCCGCGAAAAAAGTTGGGTAATGACCTCTAATGAGGCTGGATTCGTCAAACTTCCCAATGAACGAATTCTTTATACTTCACCCCCTCGAACGAGTTTACAAATTTCTACAACGACTACCCCTCCTGGCGCAGAGCCATATTCAGCCAAAAGTGACGCTGGGGTTGTCTATATCAGTAACCAACGAGTAGGTGCATCTATTCTGCTTCCGCATGTTTGGGACTATTTGCTGATTCCCGTGAAGATAATTTATCTTCCAAGTACACCTACTCCCGAACTTCAATCATTTTCTTCGCCAATTCTCAACTTGCAAGATAGCTATGTTCGTGCGCCATTCTTCGGCGCCAATTACTGGACGGCTCTCTGCAAGCCGGTCTCGGGAGGTGGAATTCCTCCAGACTATCCATTGGTTGAGCTTAAGATGACATTCAGAGAAGGCGGGGCTTTCGATTTTCATTCTTGTTTGGAGCAAATAAAGGAGCGTCTATACCAAGTTTATAGTGTCGCACGCGAACACGGGGGAAGGGGAACGAGTGGAGTAGATTTGGCGAACATGGATTTAGAGCAATTACCTGCTTATGAAGCTGCGACAGAGGTTACAGATGAAGCACCTGAGGTAGCTCGAGATAGCGGGGTATCAAGCACAACTGGAAGTTCACGGCCCGAGACCTTCACCGCGCCAGCTGAGCCCCCTCCAGATTATGAAGAAGCACAAGCACAAGCCGTTTCGGTGGACCTGGATCAGCGACTACGAGAGCAGGCCGAGAGACAATGAGAGGGGGTAAGCGACATATATAGAATGTTGTGTTACATATGTTTTGTTACATCGGGTATTACGAAGTCATGAATAAATGAATACTGGAAAGGTAGGACATCTATGGAGGGGGGTAAGGCGTTCTTCTATCACAAATTTGCACATAAGATTTGGCACGGTCTATGATCAGAAATGGGGCTATAAAGCAGCACTGCAATGGCGTTTTGAGAGGTTGATGATAAATTGCTTCAAGATGGAATTGATGCCTAAAATAGTCTGAAATAGCTAGTATATCATGAGAAATGAAAAATATATATATATAAAATGATACCAATTAGCAATTATGTTGTATGCTTTGTAACTTATTTACCTACCTATGTACTTTTCACAATTTTATTAATCAATCACTGATATGAGATTTGGCACTGATGATAAATTTCGAGTTGATGTCGGAAAAACCAGGAACCAAATTTCATCGACCAATCAGATCCGACCAATTGCAACTGAGGCTTCAATTTTGGCGAGGATCATTTCTCATCCGACACGCTGGATTTTGACCCGTATTAGATAGCATTCTACCACCAAGACCACAACACACTCAACATACTACAATTGGTTTGAATCCCCGAAATCGATTGTAAAGATGGGTTTCTTCGACAGCTGGAGCGATCTTGTATCGGCTGCTACACCATGGAGTCAGTCAGAGGCCGAGGCCGTTTCTGGAGGTTCGAGTACGGAGAAGACTCCTGCGCAAAAGGACGACGGTGGTGAGGGCGAGGTAAAGGTACGTTTGGTTTTGGCTTTTGACTATGAGTCTGCCGGAGAATTTGAATGAGATTGGATGTGGATTTGGGAATTAGGCGGGATAGAGGAAACGGCAAATAGAAGGAGGGGGATGAGATACTTTTTTGATGTGTGCGGGGATTTCGGATTTTACTGGTGGGATTGGGAGGACCTGGAAGTTGTCATTTATACTTGGAATGGACATGTGCTGACTCAAGATTGTGTATAGGATCCATCCGGAGCCACTCCAGACAAGAGAGCAGCTAAGGACGCCGAGGAGGAAAAGTCAAAGGATGAGGAGCCTGTAGAGGAGGAGGAAGAGGAAGAGGAGGAAGATGAGGAGGAGATGGTTGATCCAAAAGATAAGATTGAAGAGGGTAGGGTTCTACATTCATATGCTGGAACAGATTTTGGGTAGAGAAGGGAAATTTCAACAACTGCAATTCATGCGGAGAGCTTGGAATTTTTTTGAAACTGCTTCGGGTCTACAGTCACTTCATTGTGGGAATAGAGGCTAATTTTCAACAGAATGTAAGGAATCAGCAGCTTGTGCTCCTCATAAGCACCACTATGACGAGTGTGTTGAGCGAGTCACAAGTGGCAAGGAACAAACCCCAGGCGAGGACTGCGTTGAAGAGTGTATGCACCCTATACTCCCATCCATCCTTAGCTACTAACACACAAACTACAGTCTTCCATCTCGCACACTGCGCCACTGCCTGCGCTGCCCCTAAGCTCTGGAACACCCTCAAGTAAATCCAAGCCCGACTACCTAGTACATCACGGAATTACGCACAAAACCTAAATCAACTTTTTAGATAAAGGGAGAGGGAAGAAGGGAAGAAGTTAGAGGATGGCGGAATTGTACAAATATGAAACCAAAATCCGTTCTTGAGCACTGCATTGCATATCAAATCAGATCTCCATTTTTCACCGAACGCATTGCATGTAGTATAGAAAAGGAATCATTATAGAACTGACTTTGGTTCTCTTTATGTTTTGTCTTTGGATTTCTGGAATTTGCTTGATTTTATACCTCCGTATCATGTTTAGATTTAGAACTCTTATCATTTCGGATCTTTTTCTCGAGTGACAAAGATTACTTACCATCACAAGCAAAACGCATCGACTAAAATACCTGTACACATATTCAAATGCCTAGGTACTCTCTTCAATACTCTATCTCCCACGCGGGTTTCTTCTCAACTTGGAAAACAGATAGATATTCATACTTCGGGGCTTTGTATATATTCGGATAATGGATAATTGTATCCTGGTCTCGTCCCTGTGTTTGAATGTACTGTACCACGAGACCTCATCTTTTGGTCCATTCAGAGGGGGGTTAGAATGTTCTGTGTATACTGTTTCTTATGTGTGAGCATGTGAGTTTGGATGTGTAGCCAATGATAATTGAATGTAATATGATGTATCAATATGGGTGATATGGATGTACACCATACGAGACGAGATACCTGAGTGAGGAGTGAGGAGTGAGGAGTGAGGAGTGAGGGGTGAGGGGGTGGAGGGTTGCATCCCCTCTTTAGCTATCTCGTTTGTGGGATAAGTAGATAGGATACGTGGATATCCAATCTTCTTTGATATGAAAGATTGTATACTGTTGCACTACATACATGTACTTGATACTTCCTGCTTACAAAGTCGAATCGAAGAGGGAAATACTTCATTCATATTCCTTATTGATCGGCATCCCCTCTGTCTCAAAATCCTACTCGTGCACCTGATACATCTCCACACCAGCGGAAGTCAAACATTCGGAAGATTGACTTAGATAACCGAAGTCTAGCGGGCCCCGCCAAGCTTATCGTTGCGCGTACACTGGGCTGATTGGAAGGAGGGATGATGGAGGGAGAAACACGATTGAATTCGAATGGATTGGAAAAAAGGGTAGAGGAGAAAACGGAGAGAATTAACGATAGCGATACGGATAGAGACGAGAAAATTTACGGCGACGAGGAAAAAGATCGGGAGGTTGGTTTGAAAGAAAGTAGAGGAGATAGCGCGGATAGTGTCGAGGAATATACAGAGGATTTAGAGAAGGGAAGAGAGAAAGAGAAAGATAGAGCGCGGGGAGAAGGTAAAGGGGAGGATTTGGGAATTGGAGAAATTGGAATCATTGAGAAGGGAGATAGGGAGAGGAATATCGAGAAGGAAGCGCATTATCATCACGGTATGCCAAAAGGCTGGATGGCAATGAAAGAGCCACGCGGAAGATCGAAACAAAAGTCTAGAAATAAGGCGGGGGAGAGAATGAATGGAACGAATACGCAGACGGGAATGTCGAATACGGAGATTGCGAAAGGGCGGGAGAATGAGGAGGGGAGAGGAACAGAAGATCAAGTGGAGGATATAGATGATTTGGATTTGACGGAGTTGAATAGCGGGGATGATTTATTACCGGATGAGGAGGAAGGGGGTGTGAGGAGGGGTGGAGTCGGCGGAGATGGTGTTGCGGATGAGGGATTGCGGAGAAGAAGTTCGGAGCGTGGTGCTGGGGGTGCGAATGCGGGGAATTTTAAAGTGTATAAGAGGAGGTGGTTTGGATTGGTACAATTGGTTCTTTTGAACGTTATTGTTAGCTGGGATGTAAGTGCTGCTAGAGAATTTCATATAGTTTTAACTGTGCGTCGACCATGTTCTGAGGATTCATGATGCGGTGTCTGCTGTTGTGGTTGCAGATGTGCTAATATGGTTTCGCATAGTGGTTAACCTTTTCTGCGAGCTCGACGACGGTTTCGCAGCATTACGATGTCTCTGAATCTGCGATTAATTGGCTCAGTATCGCTTTCCTTTTTGCATTCGTGCTGGCTAGTCCGTTTGTTATCTATGTGCTGCATCATGGAGGACCTAAACCGGCTATTGTTATTTCATCCGTACTTTTGCTACTAGGGAATTGGATACGCTATGGAGCTACGAGATCGGGACCGCATGGAAATTTTGGAGGAGTTATGTTTGGACAAATTTTGACGGGAATTGCTCAGCCGTTTGTATTGGCAGCACCCACGAGATATTCGGATTTGTGGTTTACGGATCAAGGGAGAGTGGCGGCGACAGCGGTGATGAGTTTGGCTAATCCTTTTGGAGGCGCATTGGCACAATTGATTGATCCCTTTTGGGCCGGAAGTGTGGGGAGTATACCGAATATGGTGCTTTACATTTCCATTATTGTAAGTTTGAACAATTGCCTTTACTTCTACGATGCTAATTACAACATAGTCCACCATAGCAACCATCCCCTCCTTCTTTGTCCCCAAAGCACCACCAACCCCCTGTTCTGCGTCCTCGGAAGAACCAAAACATGCCCTTGGCGCCTCTCTTCGCTTCCTCCTCCGATCCCCCGAATTCTACATGATGATGTTCCCCTTCTGGATCTACGTCGGTCTCTTCAACAGTATCTCCTCCCTGATAAACCAAATTCTCTCACCGTATTCCTTCTCCGAAACCGACGCCGGTATCGCGGGGGCTCTCCTCATCGTCGTCGGTCTCGTCACTGCCGCCATCACCTCCCCTCTCATCGACCGCACAAAATCCTATCTCCTCGCTATCAAAATCCAAATCCCCATCTTGGGAATCTGCTACCTGGCATTTACCTGGGCGCCCCAAACACGCAGTCTCGCGGCTATCTATACCATTCTTTCGCTGCTGGGCGCGGCGAGCTTCAGTCTGGTGCCCGTGGCCTTGGAATATTTAATCGAAATCACGCATCCGGTGTCCCCGGAGGTGACGAGCACGATTGGTTGGTCGGGGGGACAGTTGTTGGGTGGAATCTTAATTATTGTGAGTGATCAGTTGAGAGCTGGGGGTGTTTCGGATGGGTCAAGTGATGATGGGAGTGTGAGGCCCCCTGGGAATATGTATAATGCGTTGGTTTTACAAGCGGTGTTGGCGTTGGTGGTGGTGCCGTTGCCGTTGGCATTGGGGTGTTGTGGGAGGGGGAGGGGAGTGAGGATGAGGAGGGTAGAGGCAGATAGGGTGGCTGGTGCCAGTGCGAGGAGGAGAATTGCGGATGCGGATGGGGATGGGGGTGTGAATACGGGGGGAGAGGGTGTACTTACGTAGTGGTTGGGTGTATATGCTGGTTCATATTGTATTTTGTTTGCGAAAGGAAATAGAGGAATGGGAATAATATCTGGATACCAGTTCCAAGTTCCCAGTTTTTGTGTTTTGATCCCGGGATAGAGGGAAACTCATCCATTCTTGGATAGTGAAGCAGTAACTAGTAGATAGGAATATATGTATGTATATGGATTTGGATATCCTGAATATATTAATCGAAATGACAGTTTTGAGTTTAAATCTACATTTTTCATGATCATATTCCCATTCATATTCGGATTTATATCCATTTCACAAACAGACAAACTTCTGAAAAATGAAAGTGTGTATCTTGAAGTGTTGAGATTGATATTGATATAAATCCATATTGTCTATTCCTTATTTATAATCTATAACTCATGATTTATAAGTTATAGTCATTCATTCATTCATTCATTTATATACATACATTCCTCATGTATTCGTAGGTGAATAGATGGATAGATTCTCTCTCTTATATACTCTATATCGATCCAATTTCCATCACTACTAGAGCGGAAAGGAATCTCATATACATATACACACATATATATTTTAAACCCAAACCTCACACCCAAATCCATTCCAAATTTCAAATTTCAACCCCAAACCCAACCCAACCCTCCAATGTCAAATCTCAATCTCAATCTCCAATCTCGAACCCCAAACTCAAAACTCAAACCCAACAATCGAGAGATCAAAACTCGAATCCCCTCTGCCCCCCAAAATACAATAAGCTACACAGAAAAATGAATATCAATCAGCAACCACTTGTATGTCTACTTCTGCATCTACTCCCACTTTCGCATTTGCATATACATTCATTTAGAACTCTGTAACTCTGTAACACCATAGAATCATAGCACTATGGAACCATAGCATTATGAAATCATCAATTCATAAATGATATCACAACTGAGAATACTCTATCCCTATAATGAAATCGTGAAATCATACCTCCGTAAAATCTACTCATCTAGTAAGCATTGAAATTCACAGGAGACGAATAAGGAATGACGAGTGTCTATGGAATACCGATGGAATACCTTTGAAACACCTATGAAGGGAACTATATATATGAGACTAGAATATATCTCCATTCTACTATACTTGTAAGGATGGTTTACTGATTGGTTTTATGACCAGTGAGTGGGTTGGTGGGTGGTGTAGATTATTGGATGGATAGTGGGCGGTGGATTGTTTAATCACTCGCTCGCTCGCTTGATGGAGGAAGGGGAGGATGTGTTTGTATGATTTGAGAGACACCAAAACAGAGGTGAATTTACTTTACCTCGCAACCACATCCCCGCGGTGTGTTTCTACCACTTAGAACTCTTTTAAGAATGGGATTTGTTTTGTTTGCAGAGATGCAGAAATATATACAGAGCAGGAAATGGACATTGAGCCGATGTATTTAGGAGAGTGTGGTGTTATATGGATATGGAAGAAAGATGAATGGAAGGGCAATTTGGAATATGTGAAGAGGCTTTAAGAGGGGTTGAAAATAGGAGATATTGATACAATATGTGTGACTTCAGCAGACCATTAATTGCGTCCCAAACTATTGAGAAAACTTAAAAACACAAGTACAGAAAACCATAACGGAGAGAAGAAGTGAAATCACTCAGAAGCTGACTGCAATTGCAGCCCCCAAAAGGAAACACCGAAGATATCAAAAAGCAAACAAAAACAAAAACATGTTTTGACGGGTATCTAACTTGAATTTCTCAAATGAAGAAATAAGCTATATATGGAAATTTCCAACTCTTTTTTATCATTTCTTACTACCCATATGTTCCTTGTGCAACATGATCGACGAACATCTCGTCATTGTACTCCTATGAATAAAATTGTTTTCCTTAACAAAAGCTCCCATCAACCTTCCATTCGCCTAAGACTTTGCTTCTTCTCTTTTCCTTAAGCTCCAACCCTCTCTTGATATGCTTCCCAAGCCTTCCTCCTATATCTCTCCGCTTCCCACGTTGGATCTCCAGCGCGAATAATACCTCTTCCTACAATAACAATATCACAACCTAACCCTACCAATTTTGCTGGAGTATTATACTGTTGTCCCTTTCCATCACCCTCCAGTTCCGCATCCTCGTCATTCTCAGGCGGTAATTGACATCCGGGAGTCATACTAATAAAATCATCATCCGGATCCGTATTTAATGTTTCCTGAGAGATGAATCCCATGACATAATCTCTATGTTCCCTTGCACTGTCTACACACGCATTTGTGTAATCCCTCGTCATGAAATTTCCCGCACTGCTCATTTGTGCTAATATCAAAAGGCCTCTTTCCAAAGGGGCCTCATCGATTCCCGGATATGATTCTTCCTCGATATCGAAATCGATGCGCGAGCGTGGCGAGTTGGCCGGCTCGAAATGTTGCGACACGGTGGTGATAGATACGATACTAGCTTTGCGTCCAATATTCGCCTCATCGTGTGCTTCTAATCCATGCGAACAATCTGTGACTTCATTGGAATTGCTATTCAGATTTATGGGAGTGGTGATTTGATCTTCGTCGCTTTCAATGCTTTCGGGTCGGGGGGTTCCCACAGATATATTCGTCTTGACTTCGTAACGTTTGCGCTCTCTCCATCGTGCTGCGGCTTCGGCCAGAGAATCCACGCTGGCTTTCCCAGGTATCATGTTGACATTTGTGATATGCGACCACTCGATGATCTTGGCCGTGCCTTCGGTATATTGTAATTGCACGGTATTTCCAATGTCACCGAATTTTCGGTCTTCAAATATGAGGAATCCGTGACGACGGGCAAGTCGGTTGAGGCGCGCTCCGGTGCCGGTGGTTGGGTTGTAGTCCCAGTTGTTGCTGAGATCATAATGGGTTTTCAAGACGACGATGGATGGACCGACGGAATCTGCTAATCGGAGAAGTTCGCCGGCAGTAGACACATCGGCACTGACACAGAGGTTTGATTGCTTGAGGGTCATGAGACGGAGGAGGTAGGCGGTTAAGGGGTGTTTGGTCTGCGAACCTCGATCCTCGAATGAGGTTTTCGCAATAGGATTGAGGGCGGCTGGAGACATAACGAAAAGATGTTTTGTGCAATCTTTCTTTCTTGACTATTACTGCTTGACTCAGGGATTGAAAACAGAAAAGAGAGTAAAGAGAGAGAGGGTGGGAGAGAGAAGGGGAACTGGAATTTATGTCGGTATTTTGTGGCCTGTACTTTTGTGTCGAAGTCTGAAAGATTTAAAATTAAATTTAGCGATAATTCATGTGCATCAAAAGTAAAGTAAGTACCTGAACATAGTACATAGGACCATTTAACCTGCAACTACCCAGTCAAAACGGTATTGACCCCTTGCCACAATGAATAAATAGAATGAATAGATAGATAGATAAATAGTATTTTCTTGGTATTTGCATTTCATCAATGAAAGGGGGTAAAAAGGAAAAGACATCAGGTCAAAGGAAGTTAGTGAGTGGTCTTCTTCTAAACCTTCAAAAGGCTGCCGGGCTGAAGTCATTGAATCATGAAGTACATTAGTAGATGTTTTACCTAGGTTGGATTAGATATGTATCAAGGTAGGCTTAGATATCTATCTAGGTACTAGGTAGGTTTAGATATAGTATAGTATAATAGATAGATAGTATATAAATAGTCCTCTATATAATATTCTGTATATGTATATCAATCATCTATCTTTGAAGGTATTTTCTTGGTTCCTTTCATAGTAATTTTAACTGAGTTTGGAACATCCAAAGAATGTTTCATTAGTTGATGATAACTATTGTATATAAAGTCCCTAGGTAGGTATATTGTCTACCTCTAGACAATATCATACTTGTATAACAGATCCTTCACAAACTTCACACCCTTCACACTCTTACACCCTCACACCCTTCAGATCCTTCAAATCCTTCATCTTCGTCCTACCTAGTCATACAATTATAGTTTAGTTTATATCTGTGTCATTCTTGTCTAGAATCCAAGAGCTCCATAGATCTGAGACCTGTTAAACTTTGTGGTGACTATTTACCCGATGTCAGTGCACAATCGAAAGGTTTTGTGAGAATAAATGGGGAAACTACTTTCGGAACCATAGGAATGGGTTCCTGTTGATGTTCCGTTTGGATAGTCTGACTTGGGGGGGATTCTTGGCTGAAATCTTCTGGTGTGAGGGCAAGAGGGGAATTTCTGACTTGGGTTCGGATCACAAGTACACAAGTATTAGACATAGAGCGGCATGAATAATAAGTCATCAACCTTGGAAACCCATCAAACACAATATTCCATCTTACTTACTTGCAGATTATCATTTGATGAATGTCTAGTCATTCAATCAGTTCCTCATGTCTATCTACAGAAAATCTTTCCACTCACAGTCAAAGATATTCTCTATCCCTTTTCATCTTCGGAAACCTCTCTCTCCTGCTCACTCTCCCACCATCAAATTATCAATCAGTGCACCAACAATGTCCACTTCCAACCAAGAAATAGTCCTCAAAAAGCAAATTGAACTTCTTCAAAAGAAATACACCGCATGTGATATTGCAGATGCTCTTGTCAAGCTCAAAGTACCAGGTGCTGGTTTCCTTCCCGACCTCAAACCTGCCTTTACTTCAACATCTGAATCTTTCAACATAATTACTATTGCTCCTGTTTCAACCGTTATTTTTGCCGCAAAGAATAGCACAGATCTCTCCAATTACCCCGCCGCAAATGTTCCCACTGATAAGCACTGGGTCGATCTCACCGTGTCTGACTCGATCGTGATTATCAGTCAACCCGAGGGACAAAAGAATGCGGTGCTAGGTGGAATCATGGCGATGAGGGCCAAAGTTCTTGGCGCCAAAGGTGTGGTTGTTAGTGGAAGGGTCAGAGATCTTCAAGAGTTAGAGGCTATTGGATTACCTGTCAGTGTTTGAGCCATTTTCCTTTCATCTAAGCTTTAAGGGTCCTCGTGAAACCCCGCATGCTCTCCTTTCCTCTTCGCCAAGATCACCTAATCCCAACTATCGAGTTGTCAAAGATGCTACCCTCGATTTCCGATTTTTGCTAATGATCCCCGTAGATTTGGTCCCGTGGCACATCAATTGTTGGGGCTGGTGCTGAATCCAAGCCTCATGCTGTTCAAGTGGCGTTGAAAATTGATGGCACAGACATTCATCCTGGAGATCTAGCATTTTGTGATCCGGATAATGGCGTTGTTATCATTCCACAAGGAAAGATAGCCGATGTCGTTTCCATTCTACCAGATCTTGTTGCAGCAGATGAACGTGTAAAAGAAGAAGTCATGAAAGGAATGTCGGCCCAAGAAGCATTCAAGAAGCATCGAAGATGATAGTCCGTTGAAGTTGCATACTTAAGTCATTTTGGTTGCTATGTTTTATCGTACAGTTTTGTCTTTGGTTGCCATGATGCCACACAGATATAAAGGCAACTGGGCTGCATTGTCAGACAACCTCGCGGCGTTTGGTCTAGCTACTTTCACGATAGTATCTTAGAAGTATAGAATCCATACGATAGCCTCATCTGAAGATGGAAGTTGAGGGAATATAGCTCGTAGTAAAGACTACGATCTTTCTAACACGTGTACTGAGTAAGCTCCTGCACAGAGTCGTCCCTGATAAAGCTGGTCATTTTCCCACTTCCATTTTAACCCTTCAATGTTCTCAAGTCTTTATCATACCATTGAATCCTAATTGTGGAAAGAGACAAGGATATACAATAGAGCTTTGCTCGATTAGTAGAACATCGAAAGTCTTGAGCAGGGAGAGCTTCGCGAATATGAAGCCGATTAGAAGAAGATAGCTGATGTACTTGCTGCACTTCATCGGTAAGCCGTTTAAACCCATAGCGCATATGAAATGTGTAAGTTACTCGGCGGACACCGGAATATTTATGAAAATTGGAACCTTGGCAGAGGAAGATTCGAGCCGTTTCCTGTTCCTTCAGGTAGGTAGCGAACTGGCCATCACAGGTTTGCGGTCATTTCCTACAGATTCGTTAGAATTTACCAGTATGAGGCATGGACAAGATGCGCCGAAAATGCAGAGGACTGTCCATAGGCTCTCCTTTTTGAGTGTACCGAGGATCCATGCTTGAATGATCTAGGTCCTCGAACGGTACAAAGCAAGGAAAAGGCCGAGAGCATTTTCTTTCTTTTAAGGCAATCTCATCTCTCTACCTCTTCTCCCATTCATCGCATCTTCTATCATCTGAATTATTAGAAACATTCTTATATATTCTTACATTTTTCTCCTTGTTCCTTCTCTTGCCGTTTAAAACAGGCTGCAATAATCGCTTTCACATTGCTTCCGATGATAATGTACATATTATGCATCTTGAATGCTTGCTAGTGCCGTTAGACGTCGGAAGACTGTCATAACTTCTGCTCCAGGAGCGGAATGCTCGCTTCTAGTATCGTACCGACAGTTGAAACGAGAGGGAATGGGAAGTAAAAGGGCTGATAATGTACGTGTCGGGATGAGGAGCAGAGAGAAGAATTAAGGGGTCCCGTTGATGAGGTCGTTGCCAATATTGCAAGTGCAAGACAAGGTACTATTTCTGCACACTTCCAGGTGGGCTTTCTGATCACTGATTCATCTGTGAGAATCATCACTAGACAATCATCACTTTCTGTCAGTCACTATGTCTTACTGCCCCAACTCCGACCTACGTTTCTCCGGAATTCTTCTAACAAAGCTTGCTACCACTAGCAGTATACTCGTCTCTCATTTGCAAAAGTAAATTTCTGCAACAGGAGTATGCTACAAGAAAATGAACAAATATTCCTTGCTCTTGGACGCAGAGGTTGAGGACACGCTGGAGATAAAGGTGCTAGGCTTGCCAAATATCTATTGCGTCTTGCCAAATCAGATACAGCTGGCATCCTTCTTCCTGCTGTGGAGGAACCCGATTCCGCTAGCTAGGAGGAATAATCGTTAACGATACTGATCAATCGGAACTGTCATGAAATTGCTCCCGGCCAAAACTCAGTTTGGCTTGCCGTCGGAATTTAGTGGTTACTTCCTTAGATTTACCATCATTAGTGTGTGTCCTCGAGTAACAAAACTTCTTGACGCGATTTCTACATTGGATTTTTGCTTATCCTTCGTTCGAATGAAGAGAGCCTCGGTTGGTTGTGGAAATTATAGTGGTTCAAAGTTCGTCTACCTCTGTCACCTGCAAGAATATACATTTGCGGGGCATTTTGTGCGTTGCAGAAGGGAAGTCGAGTTCAATTATCCGCAGCATCTGATCTCTTTCCATCTAGTTTCACCTCATCCCATCCATCCATTCCATTTGCCCAGAGCCATAGCACAACCACGGCAACAGTTCAGATGCAGCAGCACACCGGACTCCCAATAACGAAGGTGAACCTGCCGGTGAAAGAGATATTAGCCCACAATCCCCAAACTCCCAATCCAATATCCCAATCCCGGAAAACCAATACAAGATAAAACGGAGTAGCAAAGAGACAATACTTACAGATAGCACAACTAGTAAAAAACCAATTTCCATGCTTCCTGCTCTAGGACTGAGTCGGGTACATCGGGGTGTTCGAGCTAGGTTTACGGTTTGTTAGATTGGATTTTTCATCCTCTCATCCCCTTTTCCACTCCCCCCCAAAATAAGAATCGGGAGGAAAAGAATACACACCTTCAACTCACTCCACACCCTCAGCACCTCCGCTACCTCTCCTCCAAATAATTTCTTCCCCTCTTCCATTTCTCTGCTCTTCTTTCTCTCTTCTTCTCTGGCTGCTTTGAGATCTTTCTTTGCTTTTTTGCGGAGGGCGTGGAGGAGGAAGGGGGAGGGGGTTTCTGGTTTGGGGGGAGGAGTGTGGTTGGAGTTGGATTTTTGGGTCGCTGGTTTGATGGGTTGGAGGGGGGTGTTGCTGGAGGAGATAGCGGGTTGGTGGTGGGGATGAGAAGAGGGGGAAGATGGTTGGAGCGCCTGGGGGGGCATTGTCGTGGTTGAAAAGGAGGAGAAAGATGGTTTGTTGGGATGATCGAAGTGGTGGTAGTGGTTATTTGCAAGATTGTAGTTGGAATTCGGAGGATAGTATGTGATTTTTTGGATTTGGTGTGAAGGATGAGGATATTCGGAATGTATGAGTGTAGGTGAGAACTCGAAATGAAGTTGTGATTAGACCGGCCGAGATTTTAAAAATTAGATATTGATGAGGACTCGACATGCGAGATGTCACTTTTTAATTCAGACTTCACTTCAAACAGAATAGTGTTCACGTTGAGGTTCATGATACAAATGATAATGAGTCGGGTATCTTATGGCATTTCACTATAATATATGATATATGTAATCTATCCAGCCGCGAGAGCCAATCCCTCCATCCTCCTTCTCAAAGTCGAACTCTCTTCATCCTCTACATCTACCTCTATCTCCATCTTCGGACGATTCTTATTCAATCCCTCTAGTAAAACACATGCTTTGCATATCTCCTGACTGGACATATAACCACATTTCTTACACGTTCCCAGTGTTTGTTTTGTGAGTTTTCGACCATCCTTCTTGCCACCTTTTTGAGTTTGGGGTTTGTTTATTCTATCGTGACGTTGTCCGTCGGTAGTATTTGATGCGATGGATGTTACATCGACTTCTCTTCCTGAGGCTTCCTCGTCTGCTTGAAGTTTCTTTTCCATATCCGCCATTTCCCCTCCACTTGATCGACCATTAGTTCCACAACCTCCATTGCCTTCTTCCTCCTCATTGGCAGTTGCTAATGAGACTTTCTGACTCTTGCAGTGACTTATTCCGGTAACTTCTGCTGGTACCAACTTCGCCATATCTTCTCCGCTGCGCACAACATCCAAGATAGCACTAGGTCGTACCCTCTCTAGATTCTTGATCAAACTTCGCGCGCTACCTCTGAAAGCTTCAGGACTGTATAGACATTCTGTCGTGAAATAATCCAACTTCTTATGATGCGCATAGAGCACAATCTCCTTCTCATACGCATATTTCAGCGGTTTGCTTCTGCGTACCTCGCTCGATTCGTCACCGGTGACAATACTAGTACTTCTCGCCAGCCTGGGCAAATCTCCACGCAGGAGATTCATCAAAATAGTTTCTGCGACATCATCTGCATTATGTCCCGTAACCACATGGTTGATGCCCAACATTTTTGCCCCTCGATCTAAAGCCTGTCTGCGAAAGACACCACAATATGTACAGTTTCCCTTCTTGCCTATCGTTTCGACCACTTGATCCATGGTCCACCCATACAATTCATCGTATCCTACAATCTTAAGAGCCATATCGTATTGGACCGCATTGCGCTTGACAGTTTCGAGGGAGTCATCGCGATAACCTTTTATTCCTTCGTCGATGCTGAGTAGAACGAGTTCGAGTCCGTAATTATATCTCTCATTAAGGGTTTTCAGAACTGAAGCCAGTACTGTTGAGTCTTTTCCTCCAGATGCTCCTATTGCGATTTTGTCGCCTGGCGAGAAGAGTGATGTAGAGGTAATTGTATGATGAATTTCTGCTTCAAAGATACCGATAAAACATGCTTTACATAGTTTTTGATGATTCTTTGGTCGGATGATTAAAGCCCTTGCAGTCTTGCAAATGGCACAAGGGGTTGGTGCCATCGTTATTCAGAAACGATTGTCGAAGGCAAATAATGTCGCAGAACTTCTTATCCACAAATCATCGCGGGGAATTAATAAAAATGTCGATGGTGAAGTTTATCAAACGGACAAACTGCCCGCTTCTCACGTGAGGAAAGTCCAGAATCGCTTAGCGTGCCAAGATTTTAAAATTTCTAGCGCGCACATTGAATAATTCTCAAAATCAAGAAAACCTCTTCTTGTTGATATTATTCCTCTCGACGACAACTACGAATCGACAACTTCTCGCCGCTTCGAAATCGATCAATATGGTAAGCTATTAATGTTTTTGACTGTCTTTTTAATGAAATAATACGACTCGCCATCAGCTCTCGTACCTCTACGAGCAATCGCACGTCGAGATGCAATTTTCAATCAAATTACCTTTTGAGGTTTTTGATTTTGATTTGGCTTGAGCTATGTTCTGTGTAGAAATACCAGATGTAGTCTCTTTAGAGTTCAAAGAAGACACTTGGTGAATACTCGCTGATGTCTACTTTTCTCAATGACAGCCTCCAAAGTCCGGAAAGAAGGCGGCGCCAGCCCCATTCCCCCAGTCCAAAGCTGGTGCGGGATCAAAGAAGGCAGCCAAGGTACGTGAACATCATCCTCTTTTTGATGTCCATCCAAATACTAATGAGAATAAGAACCCTCTCATCGAGAAGCGTACCCGTAACTTCGGTATCGGTCAAGACATCCAGCCCAGAAGAAATCTTTCCCGTATGGTGAAGTGGCCCGAGTATGTCCGTCTCCAACGCCAAAAGAAGATCTTGAACATGAGATTGAAGGTCCCACCTGCGATCGCTCAATTCCAACACGTTCTCGATCGTAACACCGCCGCCCAAGCCCTCAAGCTTCTTAACAAGTACCGCCCAGAGACTAAGCCTGAGAAGAAGGAGCGTCTCTTGAAGGAGGCCACCGCCATCAAGGAGGGAAAGAAAAAGGAAGACGTTAGCAAGAAGCCATACGCCGTCAAGTACGGTCTTAACCACGTTGTTGGTTTGATCGAAGCTAAGAAGGCCTCTTTGGTTCTCATCCCTAACGATGTTGACCCAATTGAGTTGGTTATCTTCCTTCCAGCTTTGTGCAAGAAGATGGGTGTCCCATACGCCATCATCAAGGGTAAGGCCAGACTCGGCACGGTCGTCCACAAGAAGACCGCTGCTGTTCTCGCCCTTACTGAGGTTCGCTCCGAGGACAAGTCCGAGTTGTCGAAATTGGTTCAAGCCATCAAGGAGGGACACGATGAGTCCGCTACCAGACACTGGGGAGGTGGAATCATGGGTGCCAAGGCTAACGCCCGCACTGAGAAGAAGCGCAAGGCCCTTGAGAGCGCTATCAAGATCTAAATATGATCACATAGTGACTTTTACTTACGGCGTTTTTTATGATATTATGGCATGGCAGGGACACTTAGCTAGGCCAAGCAGCTTAAGAATTCAAAATATGAAGGCTGTATGATACCATAATTTATTTGACTTTTTGATTTTGTTCAAACAGTACGTGCGTGCCCTTGGCAAATCTTTGTGATGTCTTTTTCATTCTCTTGTGTTACATCGGAATCTCTTCCCTTTCCCCGTTCCCCAAGAAAATCTAGTCAATTCTATCAAAATTTGATTCATCAAACTTCCCATACCAATTCCACAAGGTAACTGGGATAATCCCAAGATGGTTAGGTAATGATACAAGACATTGAAATTATGCCTGACTTATAGCCAAGTCTCCGTTTCTGAAAAGATAATTAGGAAAAAAGACGGAAGAATTTTTAAATTCTCTTGGAAAGGGCTTGGGGAAACACAACCAAGAGTTTGATAGCCACGGCAAAACATAGGAAACCAAGGCAAGGTCCGGCACTCGGACGGACTGTCGGGATAATCGGGATTTGGGAGGTGTGGAATGAATCTTGGTATACCTTCATGTGTGAAATGGATGGATTATGGTTACGATGGATGAAATGGATCCGATGAATCATGGGTATGGAAATCGAAAAGTTCTCAGGGGAAGCTATTCAACGATGAAGATATCTAGTTTTGTAGGTAGAGGTCGAATCTGGACCTGAGTAAATGGTACCAAATGGCATTGTAATGTCTCGGGAGTACGGCTTAGACTGGGGTTTAATGTATGGAATTTGAGGGATGCAGATATGGTAGATGTGAAGTTGTATGGGAATGGAAGACAGAAGGGAGAGCGGAAGAGAAGGGGAGAAGAAAACGAGGGAAGTAACATGGCGATGAAGCCGACACGCAAAGGTTGAAGGGAAGCAGCGGGAAAGGCAGAGGAAGTTCGAAATGGTAAGAGATGATACTTTGACACTATCTTGGTACACTTGGATGGATCCGATACGTCACAAGCGATTGTCTGATACTCTGTGGCTTTTTCCCCTTCCGGAGATCTTGGGACTGATCAGACAGACATGGATGGTTTGTGTGTGGTGTTGTCTTTACATGAGAAGGATGATCGATTTGCTTATTTATTCATCCTTTTCTCGAGAGTTTTACTAAGGTTACTAAGGTTACTAAGGTTACTTGGAAATCTTATTATTAAGTATTTATTCATTCGTAGAGATTATACTATTTACTCAAGACAAGATATTATAAGCACATGATCTACGATATACCTACCTATATGCATAGTTACTATAGCAAAACAATCACCATCCAGCTTTCAAATTTCCCACACCAGATCACATCACACCAAGTTCTCATCCCACGAATTGAATTGAGTAATTCCAATTGGCCAACTCTTATCGAACAAAATACTCGGTACATTCATTCTCTTATCGTACCAGTCCAGTAATCCTGGCTCCCTGATTTCTTGGTATGTATGTATGTATGTATGACTGGGCTAGCTGGCTAGCTGGCTTATTATTACTTGATTCTCTTTCTTTGAATTCGAATCTTATTATGATTATTATCATTATCTTTTCATATTATTATATTATTATTAGTCTTCTCTCTAATTCCACTAGCTCCACCCAGTTTCTAAGTTTGAACGTGCTGAAGTCTCCATATCACTCGATTGGGCCCCCTCAACACTTTTTCCAGAAAACTAAAGGTGCTAAGATCGGCCCCGTTCAAAAACTTATTACTCATATATTCGGCTCTCCATATTTCCATCTATCTCGTCGTGAAACCCTACGCAATACCATCGCAGCGAGTTCCTACTTACCTCCTATTCTGGATACCTACGATATTGAAATACGACACTGGACGATTACGAAGATTAGGAGATTTTTCCCATAAAGTTAAGAAGGAAGAATTGCAATTGATAGGAAAGAAGTTTGAGAAATTGTTACAGGAATTATAATGGGCTCTGGTAATCAGCCCCTCTTACGATTGTTCAATCATTTCTTGTATACTCTGTGTATACTCTCGTATCATATGAGGGAGTGTATACAGAAAGAAGACGACAGGAAAATCATGACGCTCATACTAACAAATCCCCAGAAACTCCCTTCGATTATGCCTTGAGCTCCAACGCCGCATGGGCAGGCTATAAGAGCCACCAAAATCCCAAATTCTTCCCTACCATGGCCCAAGGCCAAACTCCCAGCATCCGTAAGTCCTCAGTCCTCCCACCTACGCTTTCTAGGCCCCGCTCTCCTTGCCCCCCTCCCCACGGCTAAACAACAATCCTAACACCCCCAGTCTGGCTCGGCTGCTCCGATTCCCGTGTGCCCGAAACCACCGTTCTCGGTCTCCAACCCGGTGATGTCTTTGTGCATCGTAATATCGCCAATATCGTGTCGCCTACCGATATCAATTCCTCGGCCGTCATCGAATATGCCGTTGCGCATCTGAAGGTATCGCATATTGTTGTGTGCGGGCACACTTGCTGCGGTGGTGCTGCGGCTGCGTTGGGAGGTGCAAGGGTAGGTGGAGTTTTGGATACGTGGCTTGCGCCGCTCAAGGCATTGAGTAAAATGCACGAGAAGGAATTAAAGGGAATTAAGGAAGATTCCGCACGGGCGGTCCGTCTCGCGGAGTTGAATGTGGCGAAAGGAGTAGAGGTACTTATGGGGAATGTGGTTGTGGAAGAGGCGGTCCGCGAAAGAGGATTGAAGGTTCATGGTGTTGTGTATGATATTGGCTGTGGAAAGATTCGGGATTTGGGAGTAGGAAATTGCAATGAGGAGGAGGAAGAAGAAGTTGCCGGAACAGATGGAGCCGCGGAGTCGAAAGGAGCAAAGGAGTTGGTTCAAGGTGCGCATGGAATGCTGGTTTTTGGAAAGGGGGGTGCAACCCTTAGTACCGCGTAATGGGATGACATGTACGGATAGATGAGTTTTGGATATGCACGCATACATTGTTATACTGTGTAGTATGAGAGGGAATGGGAAGGAAGGGAAGAAGGCAACGGGAGTTTGAGGCAAAGGTGGGTTTTTGTTTAAATCGAGCAAAGATGAACGGAGAGCGGTTTGGGAATTAGATCGATTAGAAAGTCGAAAGCAATGACATTTAATAAATCATCTAGAAAGAATCATAATATAATATGGTCATTGATGGTATAGGTCTATGTGTGGGACGATTGACCAAGTACACAGTTGTGCGAGATGAACATAGGAAGTACCGTTGATTTGGTGTCAAAGTAAAGAAGTATCAGATCAGTATCTGCTTTTTCAAACCTACATTTTCCTAATCAGTTTCTGGAGTCATGCAGAAAGGATGCTAGAAGATTTACTGTTGTGTATGGCAAAGTCTCTAGTGTTTTTCTCTTTCTCCTTTTTTCCCTCTTTTGAGACTGTATAAGACTATATGAGACTATATGGATTTAAATTTAAATCTAAATTTGGATTTGGATCTGGATTTGAATGAGATTGGAAGAAAACACATCAGTATTCTTGTCTGAAATCTTACATCGAGTAGGAAATGAGGAGTGGGGAGTAGGAATCGATATAGGAATACTGTACTATACGATGCTGTATATAGATTTATTACATTAGCATATTCTATTCTCCTGTACGCTTATTCCCCCATACTCTATTCCCCTACACTCCCGAGTTTATACTCCATATTCGAACTCACGTTCTAGTTATTCTATTTCTTGCATCTCGGATCCTCTCAAATATTTCTACATCTTTGGATATCTCCTAAAGTTCTTGAACTTCTCAAAATGGATAGATAGCCTTTATAATTTCAAACTTCGAACCTCAAGTCTTAAGTCTCGAACCTCAAGTCTCGAACCTCAAGCTTCGATAAAATCTCAAATATACTGTATTTCATGTTGTATATTATATAGGCATATAGTATATAATACATATTTTTTTTTTCTTTTTGAGATTTCATCGTATATACTAGATAGATAGATGATATAAATAGATGGGTATTGGTGTATGAGGAGGTAGGTATGATCTATCATCTATAATCTATTATCTATAATCTATTATTTATGATTTATTATCTATAATCTATCATTTATGATCTATCATCTATAATCTATTATCTATGATTTATAATATATGATTTATAATAGGATTGATTGTATTGGATGGTTGGAGTTGTAGATGTAGATACAATGCGATCTCTTGTAGTGGAAGTTTGTAATTCGATGGGATACCAGATATCTAGGTAGCTATATGAAAGGAGAGGAAAGTTTGTGTGTGGTTATGGTTTGTTTGGTTGGTTGTTTGCTTGGTTGGTTTAGAAGAAGATGGTGTGTTGTATTGCAATGTGATTTGATGTGATTTGATGTGAAGTGAAGTGAAGTGAAGTGATATCATGTTGTATAATGTGCACTTTGGATATATCCATATCTTTAATATTCTCCTCACTCCTCACTCCTAACAAAAATCCAAACCAGATATCTACCTGGTAATTTAATCAATCTCACTATATAATATCGCCCTCTCCCTTCTCTACCCTCTCCCTTTCCAAACTCGAAACTTAAACCTCAAGCATCACTATATTGTACATAATCCCCAATCTGCTTTTTGATCAGTAGGGGATTCCTTGATCATGCTCGTAAAAAAATTATACTAAACTACCAAGTAGCTGACTTCTTGATGCGGCAAGAGATGTAAATACTTGGAAGATTAAAGGATGGAAGATAGTGAAAGTAAAGAAGTACATATAGACATATAGACATATAGACATAAGCACATAAGCGAAGATCAAGATTCCATTATCAAAGCCTATCGAGCCTTTCTTGAAAAAGCTTATAATGTAGCGTGCAAGTAGATATTAAATATGATATCTCCTTACTCCATATTATTATTCTTTTCCAAAATTCATGTGGTATCCATCGTAACGCATTAACCTGACATCTCGTCGTAACTTTATCAGTTTTTAATAACTCCAATTTTTCCCTATCTCAAATGTATCTCGTTATCTCAAAAGTCCTCTATAGAAACACCCACCCCTTTCTCTCTCGCGAACCTAACCAACTCCGCCCCAACCACCAAATCCATAAGACCCATCCCCACACTCTTGTATATAACATTTCCATTCCTCAACCATCTACTCATGGAATCTTCCTTTTCTGTCTGTACCTCCTTTCCTAACATACCTAACGTACCACTTGAATTAGTAGTATTTGTGCTTGTGGATCCTGTTCTGGTTTTGCGGAAAGAGAATGAAGATTTACGAGAAGGGCTGCGAGAGGATGAAGGAGAAGTGGAATTTTCGGAGTGGAATATGTTGGCCATACTGCGAGCTACAGGCGGAGAGGTGGGGGGGAGTGGTGGACCTGGGGTCGGTGTTGCGTCACCGTTGCCAGTTCTGTCTATCTTTAGATTGTGGAGGTCGAGTGAGCTACGTGGAGATTCATCTGAATCATCGATGGCAGATGATTGATTGAGAGGATCGATTCCATGAGATAGCATAACCAATTCGCCTAATTCAACCAAATTCTTAGCCGAAACATTGCCTTGAATGATTTCACCTGCTTCTTGTTTGCACCCGTCTATCGTATCAACTACGATTACCCCACCTTCTTCGGCATGTCTATGAAAATGATGGCCACTTCCATGAACTTTTACTGCTTGCGCCACGACTTCAAGAGGTAATTCGATCATATGCGGTTTGTAACTGCCTATGGCGACAATGAGCCGTCCCTTCTTCCTACCTTCTGTATTTGTTAAAATGGAATGAGGAAATAACGGCGAGGTTGATGGAGTTGTGCAAAAGATAACATCGGAAGCTCGAATATATTCTTTCTCGAGACGAGCGAATTCTCCATAGGCCGGGCTAAGAACAGAGAACTTCACATTGGTCCAACCTTCACGTTCCTTCGTAGCAGTAGGTACTTCGAGAAATGCTTTCATTAGATTGCGCACCCGGTCCGTAAAAGCGCGAGATATGATGTTTATTTGTTTTATAGTTGGGCCACGAAGAATGAGAGCGAGACGAACGTGCCAAAAAGCTTGCTTCCCAGCACCAAATACTGTTATAGTTTTGACCTTGGTGCGGGGTGTAATGAGAAGAGATGAAGCTAGAGCTGTGCGAAAAGCAGTGGTTTCTGATGCATTGAGAAAGCCGAATGGCAGCCCTGTTTTATCCATGAGTGTAAGAGAACCTTGAGGGGTACTTGGATTTTTAGTTGATGAAGAGGTAGATATGGAGTCGGAGTCTGAAGATTCATTGAAGGAACCTGGCTGAGGAAGAGTGACAACTGTGAGTGTTAAAATTTGGTGCTAGAATTTAACCAAAAAAGGGAGCCTACCTTTCATCCCAATCCCTGCAGATGCAGTAGAGGGCATGAATAGTGTTGTCCTTTTATGCTTTGACTCGAGAACTGTCCTTCTAGGCTGGTGCAAGCTGCAGCAATCATCATCCTGAGTTCCTGTAGAATACTCATGAAGAGCTCTTCTCATCTGATCCTGAAACCTTTCCAGATCTTTTAGAGTGAGGTCTTGAAGAAGATGTTTGATATCCGAGTCTGTTAACACGGTGAGAGACATTTTGAAAGCTGTATATGGCCTAGTTCTACCGTTGAGTTTACCGTCTCGTGTACATGGAATTGTTGTAGTTTTCCTGGAGCAAATACATGAATGAATCAACAAAAGAGGAATTTGTTTAGAAGCCAAGACTTGAATCACGTGAGGTTCAAGCAAGTTGATCACAATGTAAGATTATGTAAAGACAAAGCAAGGGTTCACAGTTGCGGATTTACAAAGGCGGCTCTTATCAGTGCCCTTTATCTTAGCTTGAGCGGGCTTAGTCGGGTATAATCAAAAGTCCGAGAAAATCCATCTTGACCCCTTCGTTCATCGAGCAGTCAATTTAGTGTTCCTTTTGGCTAGAACCGTATTTGGAGTTGGTATCAGACACATCTATCTACTATTTATTAGTAGTACACATAGGGGTTTCTACACTTATTTCTGAAACTATTCGATTGAAAGCTTTACAAGGCTTTCAAAACTTCACAGGACATAAATTCTTAACCCTCTCGACAACAAGCCAGGTGAGCTAGGAAGGGATAATGAGAATTGCTCGGGTTATAGATCCATTTCCTACACTCCGTAGACCCAAGATTGGGGAATGGGACGAGACAAGGAAGGTGCTGTGGAAATCACAGGCCCAGATTACATCACCATTGACCATATGGAATATCGGATCTGGAAAGCGGCAGCAGCTCAATTGGTGGTTCAATGAGTGGTAGCTCCACATGAATTGACAAATAAAGCTCACCTGCAGTCATTCCAAAAGTTAAGGATATCTCGTCTCTCTCCGTCTCACAATAGTTTCCTTCCGGAACTTCATATTCGTGGTCAAAAGCTTTCGCAGGACATCATAGTACAACATGTCGGCCCCCAAAGAACTTAAGATGGAATACACAAGACTCGGTAACTCGGGACTAAAGATATCCAAGGTTATCTTTGGTGCCATGTCTTTTGGATCATCTGAATGGCAAGATTGGGTAGCTATTCCTCATTTTGATTTGCTACCAACTACTTTGCTAACATAGTAAGGTACTCGACGAGGAGGAAGCTCTTCCACTATTGAAACACGCATACGATCTCGGGCTGAATACATGGGACACTGCAGATACCTACGCCAACGGAAGATCCGAGGAAATCATCGGAAAAGCATTGAAACAATACTCAATTCCAAGAAACAAGGTTGTTATTCTTAGTAAATGCTATTATGGTGTTGCTGAAGATGGAACACAACCACACATTTCGACGCTTCGCACAAATGATGGAGAGATGGTCAACCGGGTTGGCCTGAGCAGAAAACATATTCTTGATGCTGTGGACAAGAGTGTTGCTCGATTAGGAACACATATCGATGTCCTGCAGATCCACAGACTCGATCGCGATACTCCCAGGGAGGAAATCATGAGAGCCTTGAATGATGTTGTGGAAAGTGGCAAAGTTCGGTATATTGGTGCAAGCAGTGTAAGTTGGATGATGCATCATAAGATTAACAGTGGAGACTTACATATGGTAGATGGCTGCATGGGAATTCCAAACGCTACAAAATATCGCCGAGAAGAAAGGCTGGCACAAATTTATCTCCATGCAAAATTATTACAACTTGCTTTACCGTGAAGAAGGTATGTTTGTCATCCTTACACTATTTCAAGATACTCATACAGTTTGCAATTAGAACGAGAGATGATCCCATACTGTAGAGACGTTGGTGTTGGACTCATTCCGTGGAGCCCAATTGCCCGAGGAGCACTTGCTCGTCCTTTCAATGACCGAGGCACAAAACGGGAAAATAGTGATATGATGCTCAAGGCTTTGATCCGTAGCAAAGAGACTGAAATCGATAAAACCGTCATTAATCGTGTTGAGGAGATTGCAAAGAAAAATGGAGTTAGCATGGCAACTATAGCTGTTGCTTGGTGTCTTAGCAAGGACAGTGTCAATCCAATTATTGGTTTGAGTAGCAAAGAGAGAATTGAGCAAGCAGTAGAGGCCGTCAAATTCGCCAGTTCTGGGAAATTGACTGCAGAGGACATTGCATATCTTGAGGAAAGCTACGCACCTAAGGTTGTACAAGGTTATTAAAATATATTGAGTGGCAACCATGTGGCTTGCAAGGACAGGAATCACAACCAGGTCCATGTACTTCATGGTGTCATACCTTTCTCTTGGTCCAACAAAGAATGCCGTTCGTGTCACAAACAGGTGATTCATGCTTTGTCGTTTGTCTTTTCTAAAATGGGATTCCTCTTCACTGTCCATTCATATCTCACAAATTGATTATCCGACTCGATGTAAGTCAGATACCAGAAACAATGAAGGCTACAAAATCATCGCTGTCGTGGTAGATCAGAACTACTCAACTATTACTCGCCACCACCTATCTTGCACCTACGTTATTAGGAATTGTATAAAGTAATGATCAACATGATTATAAATTTCTCGGAAGACGCCCTTTTCTTCTGTACAATCCTCGTGTTTCACCACATCATATTAAAGTAACTTGGAGTTTATTCAAGGTTCTTGCAGTATTGAAGTCAGCTTCCCTCGACCACAATTCATCTACTATCGGACCCAAACTCACGGGTCGGCTCGGTATTCTAGCCTGGGCAAGCTTTCCCCTGATTTTACTACTTCGTAGTTCTTAGCCTCCTGGTGGGGTAAAAAGTGGCATCGTCAGAACTGATAAGAGAGGGGTCGGAAAGTATAACCAATACGAGACTCATCAAAGGAAGAAGCGTTGCTGTACAACCACATCTACCAAATCTACCAAATTAATAATTACATATACTGTATGCGACAACAACATTTCAGCCAATATATCGTACATTCACTTGCCAAGAGGTGAAAGCCCACAGGACTGAATCATCTCAAGGCCTCCAATAAGCTGTTGAGAGTCCTCAGATGTGGATCAGCTGATAACCATCCCCCCCACTTTATCTTGATTATATTCTTCTTCTGTTTGATAGGATTCAGATCTTTCCTATACACTGCTTGAGTAAAGTTACAAAGCTTTTGGGTCGAGGTTCAAGACAAGAAGTACTTCTAGAAACCCATCATCATGGTTGCCATCTCTACTTTGGGGTTTGCAGGTCTCTTGATTGGTCTCATATGGAGATTCATCATCTATCCTGCATTTATCTCACCTTTGGCAAAGGCTCCAAATGCACACTGGTCTTCTCCATTTTCTCCTATCTGGATCCTGTTTCAGAGATTTCGATGTCGGGAAAATAGGACAGTTCATGCGCTACACAAACAACTAGGTCCCTTGATTCGATTAGGTCCAAATGAGCTCTCTACTAATGATGTGGAGGGTATTCGAACTGTATATGGAGGTGGGTTTGAGAAGGGAGAGTGGTATTCTTTCTTTGATAATTTTGGGTAATCTCTTTCCTCGCAAGATCTTTTCGGAAATTCCCTAACCACGTGGTAGTATCCCATGTATGTTTTCAACGCTTCCCTCGAAGAATCATTCCTCTCGAAAGAGGATGATCTCAAATACCTACTCAAAATCTACACTACTATCATCACCCGCCTTGGCTGAACAAGCAAGGGTCATTCTCTATGAACGTCTTCTACCTACCATTTCAAACTTGGCTTCGTCTTCAAGTCCTCATGGAGTTGACGTTTACGATTTATTCAATGGCACTACTATGGATTTCGTCTCCTCATACCTATTTGGACTCAAGAATAGTGCCAACTTTATTAAAGATGTCTCATATAGAAGGCATTGGATGAGACTTTACCAAGGACGCCATCGTTATACTTTCTATTCACAAGAACTTCCCCGCCTCACTCGATTCATCAATACTTATATTTATCGTATCGTTCCTACATTTGTCGATTCCGCCAATGATGAATTGGAAGAATGGTGTCAGCATCGCTGTGAAGCTACTGCTAGATTTCTCAAGGAAGGCGGAACATGGGATACGGAACCTGGCAATGAACCGGTAGTATACAACGCGATGGTATCTGGTATTGAGAAAGAGAGTAAAATGCGCGGCGCGGACTCCGTTCTCAAGGAAGAAACACTCAGGTTTCCAGATCGTAGTATCTACAGTGAAATGATCGATCATCTTGCCGCCGGCCACGAAACTGCAGGTATCACGGTTACTTATTTGTCATGGCACTTATCCATCGATCCCATGCTTCAGAGATCTCTAAGAGAGGAACTCCTGATTCTTTCACCCAACATGCTTTTCTCGCCCACATCTACAGCCTCCAAAACTCCAACAATCCCCGATCGTAAAGAACTCGATGCTCTTCCTATCCTCCACGCAGTCCTAATGGAAACTCTTCGTCTCCGCGCCGCCATTCCAGGTGGTCTTCCCCGCGTGACTCCATATCCTAGTTGCGATATCGGCGCTTACAAGAATATTCCTGGTGGCGTTAGAATCGGTGCTCAAGCTCACAGTGTCCATCGAAACGAACAAGTTTTTTCAGAACCCGAGAGATTCGACTACATGCGATGGATGGAAGGAAATGGTATGACTGAGGAACAGAAACGTGAAAGGGATAGGACATTTTGGGCTTTTAGTAGTGGAGGAAGAATGTGTATTGGAAGCAATTTTGCTATGCTTGGTTAGTTTTTCTGCCTTTGTCTTTTGCTTCATCTTATCTTTTTTCTTTGCCAATCATTTTTTCCCTTCTCTTGACAGAAGGATAGAAGTAACTAACCACCATTCTAGAAATCAAACTCATAATAGCAGCCATCTACACCAACTTCCGCACTTTGGTCATAAATGACGATGGCGTCGATCAGATGGATGGATACACCTGTGGACCATCTGCCGGTAAACTTCATCTTCGATTCGAGCATGTTCTTGCTCCATCAGCCGTTGAGAACTGATATTTCAAGGAAAAATATATACCCATACAAGGATGGTGGATATAACTTTATTTTCAGGCGTTGTATTTGGTTAATTCGGTTGAATCGCAGCGGTTTGCCGTTTTCAAATCCCCACTTCTTTTAGATATCTTTTAACAAGATTTATTCGATAATCTTAAATGTATATCTCGCATCATTGATCATGTTACTTCGAGTGATAATACCGCGAGAGAGTCGAAACATCTATCTACACACAGGATTGCCAAAGTTCACCACCATAACTTCTTTCCCTAGGTAGTCAAACATCCGCTACATTTGTCCATTCATAATCTCTATATCTATAACACTTTCTATCTCCTCTCAAAGATCAACTTACACTCCTGACCTCTCGGCCTACTAGATATAATCTGATCTTCCATCTCCATATCTGCTTCATATCCTTCTTTTGTCTTCGTTCTATATTTCGTGTAGATTCTCTGTATCAGATGACGCATCTCTGCTAGCGCTAGACTATGCGGGTATAGGTATTAGATTTAGACTGACATATATCGCATGTTCTTTATTTCCTCTCTATCTAAAAGGAAAGGAAAACTCGAGAAAAAAAGCAGAAAGAAAATAAGAGAAAATAAACATACTCCCTCCCCGTACACGCTCTCCCCCCCCTCCCAAAAGCCAAAAACCCCCTCTCCATCTCTCTCACTCTCTCTTCATTCCCAAGCCATCGTTCTGGACAGAACATCTCGGCATCATTCCCGAAGATCGCGGGATTGCGATGGAGACTCCAGGCTTGGATACTTACGGTTGAGTTTGGGGGGATGAGATATTGGGCGATGATTCTGGGTTTGGAGGGTGATGGTGATGTGAGACGGGGTTGGGACATGGGGATGGGGGGGTGGAGACGGAGAGTTTCGGTTATGAGGGCGTTGAGGTAGGGGGTTTCGGATTGGGTGGTGTTCTTGGGAGGGGAGGTAAGGGAGAGGTGGAGTTTTTCTTGGATAGGGAGATTGGAAGGGAGGGAGAGCGTGTGGAGGAGGTAGGTGAGAGAGGCGCCGGTCGTGTCGAGACCAGCAGCTAGATGGTCGAGTATCTCGGCTGCGATTTGGGTTTCTGATAGGGAGGGAGAAGCGTGCTGGAGGGCGTGGAGGAGAGTGTGTGGTTCTTGGGTTGGGTGGAGGCAAGAGGTGAGGATGTATGTATTTGTTAAAGGGGTGGAGCGTTGGGGGAAGAGAGAGAGGAAAAATGTGGAGAGGGGTTGGAGGTAGAGGGTTAGAAGTTGGTCTGTGAGGGTGTGAGATTGGAAAGTCGAGAGAGTACTTTGAGGGAAGTATAGAGGGAGTATTGAATAGAAGTGGAAGGGGAGAAGCTTACTTCTGAGACTTGAGTGATACGTCATCTCTTCCATTATTTCCATACCAGCTTTCTCTTCGATAGATTTGGTTCCCGCTGTTCCGAGTAGAAAGTGACTTGCGCAATCTAGTGCGAAACAGTGTGCATATCTCTGTTACTTCATCAATGGTTATCTTTACACTCGAACAGATTATCCAGAATCTTGGGGGAAAACAAAACTCACATAAAAATCAAGAACTCCATTTTCTGAGTCCTCAACCTTTCGAAGAAATGCTTGACTTCTTTCTTCAATTCCATCCATGATAGCTGGTTTGATGATCTCAGAATTCCGATATGGTTTTGCGATATTCTTCTTCTTTTCTTTATGCTTCGAGTTAGTTGGAGGGAATTAGTATCGTTACTGTCCTATTTCTCTCTCCTATCTCTCACTAGAAAGATCCTAGGCCTGTAGGATCAAATATAGTGAAAGCCATTTTGCACCCCATCACCATCTTTTCGCCCCAAATTTCTTTCCAAGACATCCCCAACACAAACATTCCAACAGGGTGACCAAAAGAAAAGAAAAACCTACCTCCAACCTCCTCTCAGTAGAAAAGGTAGTCCTAACCCCCAATTGTCTAAAAAGTCCATAAAATCCCGTTTTATCCAGCTCTCCTCCCTCATTTCCATAAACCCCTTTCACTCCTTCAACCCCGCAAAAAGCAAATTCTTTTACACCGATTCGAATGCTTTCTCCATAGCTCTTGTGCAGATCATGGATGTATATTCGTCGATTACCATTCCATTCGTGGTATTTTAGGACTAGGTTTGTGAAACGTGTGTACCATGGGCCTGGGGGGAGGTTTGGGTTTTGGGGATTGAGAAGAATGGGGAGGAGGATGATGAGGAGGTAGATGAGGGGGGTATAGATGACGAGGGTTGTGATGTTGGGTAGGTTTGGAGAGGAGAGGAGATCGGGTAATGTAGTGGAACTCATAGTGGTGACTTGTGGGTTTCGAGCTTTGGATTGTGTAGTGTGTGAGGTATTGTTGGGAAGGCTATCAACGAACCGACCGATAGGGAAGAAACCAGAATTTATGGATTTGAGATTTGCTTGACTTCCATCTAAAACGATGAGCAATGGAAAAGCAATAGATGCGAAGGTTGTAACAAGAATATTGGCTTCGCAAAGAGGAAGTCTGTTCTGTTTGTTACTTCCCTTATCGGAGTGGGGAAGGAAAGGTCACGAACAGGTGGGGTCACCGGGTGCACTGATAAACGAACATTATTTTTAACGTTTAAGCACTCGGGATGAATATGATTCTCATGTAAACTGACTCGAAATAGTTGGATGTGTTCCGAAACTTGAGATGATAGTACTTCTCTGATATCCAGAAAGTATCTAGCAATCAACTGTTCAATGATGCTCTTGGTGCAACGCTTATAAGCTTCTATCACTATAAAGTCAATGAAAGCTATCTATTCTACTAGTAGAGTTAGTAAAAAAGCTTTTTCTAACACATTTATCTTCCTGACTACATGTCCACAAAAGAAAGTTCGGCGTGAAGACTTTGTATGCTATCGAAACCGATGAGAAAGTATCTCCACTATCATGATTCATGGTCGACATCAATTGCGCCGGTCGCGAAAGCTGTTTAGAGTGGTAGTTATGCGTGCTGAATTCGGACATTCACAAGCTGTGCCCACAAGTCACATCATATTGTTAGTGCAAATCCTCTGAGAGTGCGGGTGCAGCTCCGTTGATTATTGGAAGAGGGACTATTGCGGATATTCCACCAGTCGAGAGGCGCGGAAAGTACATTACTTTATTCAAAAAGTCCTATGAGAACGCCTAAGACATATCACGAAAAGTTAATTAATGTTTGCACCCAATTCATGCTGTATAATGATGTTTTAGATAGTTTTCTACAGTTAGTTCATCTAGTCTTGAGAATGCTCGACTCTTGCCAGCTGAACATTGAGTGGGACTTTATCCCAAGTCCAAAAGATCTTCTGGTCAGTCCAATTTTGCAACTTCTTCCCGCTAGGGACTTAAGTATGAAAGTTCCAAATAAGTCGCGAAAGAATAAGCCGCATCTCCATCCAAGCGAGTGGCTAACCGATACAATTATGTGCCCCGAGTAAAAATAGATAAAATACGTTATTGGAATCGGCTCGTTTGTTCATAGAGGACCGATTTCCAGAATTGTCTAACCATCGCTTGGGGATAAATTCATCTGGGGACACAAAGTTACTTGAAGAATGGAAAAGAGACCAGCATGCCACTGAAACGGTTGTGCCTCCGGGAACAAAGTGACCTGCGATTGTAGCACCCCCACTCGGTACTTCGCGCCTCAGACTATCAGGAAGTGGGGGAGACATTCGTAACGACTCGTTGAGCACCGCCATAAGATACGGCAGCGAACTTGAGGACTTGTTGGTAATTTGCTCTTCCGTGCGAAAGTTTGTGCGATTTTCTTTTTCCAGAGTCTCTAGACACTTGGGATTCTCAAGTAAAAAGTGAATTGCGGCGGCCAAAGTAGTCGTTAGAGTCTCGCTACCTGCAACAATCAAGTCCATGGAGTTCATCTCTATTTCACCCGTTGAAAGGGCTATCTCGGTCGAAGACTTGTTGTGATCGATGACATGAGACATAATATCAGGTTGGTCGACGTCATGATGAAGTCGGTCTTGGACCCTGAGATGCCCTGTCTCGAGAGCTTGACGTAGATCTCTGAGAGTTGAAGCTGGAGTGATCTTTATGAGAAATGCTTCAAGCAATGGATAGTATTTGATAGAGTTTGCAATAAGAACGGCTTTGGAATGAGAAACTACTTTGATCCACGGATGATATGGGCTCTCTTGAAGGCATTTGAAAGACGAACCCCATCCCAGATCTCCAATGATGTCAAATGTTGTAAAGTTTAACCATTGCACTAAATCAACAGTACCATCATCTGTACGCTGCTCAGCGATAGCTTCATTCAATCTAAGAATCAAAATATCTATGTATCTTTTAACAGTTGGTTCATGACTTTTTGTGGCTCTGTCTGAGAATGCTGGTTGAAAAGCTTTGCGGAATCGAGCATGGTCGATGGCGTTAGCAGTGATAAAATTGTGTGCCTCAACACCAGGTGGTCTAGAGCCCCATTCTTTTGGGCGGATAAACTGCTTCTGCAGGTAAATATCTTTGCATGCTTGAGGGTCTGTGAATGATAGCTCGTCTGGAGTAACTCTTAAAACAGTACCATATTCATCGTGCAATTTCTTGATGTGATAAGGAAGTATCCCAGAAAGCATAGTGTAGATGAATGGAACTCGCGATACAATCTATGTAGGACTTCCACGGAACTTTGATAGGGGGTGGAAAAAGGCGTTGTAAATCACAATAGTGGCAATATACTAGCAAGAAAATCAGTCGACATTCTTGTTTGTGAATTAGATGACAAAATTGTCAATCTTACACTTAAAACTGATATCAGAGGTGCATTGCACAGACTTCTGTAAGTTAAACTCTCCATTCTGCTACACAAGACGAAAATAGAGAAAGGGCGAGAATGAAGAAAAGCTTGGTAGAGGAAATGGTGGAAGCTCTCTAGATAGTAAGCGTATGAAATACAATCAAGCAAGCGAAGTACCTCAAGGCATTCGACACGCTGCGTTTCATATGTGCTTTAATACTTCTCCAACGGCATGCCGCAACGACGCAAAATTTTGACTATCGAGAGTATAGGGAAGTGACCGTTGTCCCGCAGAGACTTTGCTTATGCCGTTGCTCATATGTGGAGTCTGCTTATGCTGACCCCGTCGCCCATGTCTGTACCAACATTTTAGATCACCCTCATGAATATCTACGTTGTCAATATTGTGCCTGCCTGTCTGCGTGCTTACCATGAGTTTCGAAGCCTCGGGGGACTACTTCCGTGCCTTTGAATTCACTATGGTAGATTAGTAATCTCACATGGATATGCCAACGACATCAGTGTATTGATATATCAACAACAGATTGGTAGCTTGTGATTTTTGAGGTTGACATCTTCTTCGCTCTTTTGATCTCAGCTAGTCATTGTAACATCTTACATTTGTAACATCAACGGTCCCGAATGAGAAGGTGACTATCCTAATGGAGATAACTTATATTGTGATATTTACCCATTCCTTACTAGGTTGGTATTATACCAACAGATACCAACAGCCACCAACTATCACCAACAGCCCATGTACGGATTCTCGCCTGAGATGTATCTTTCGTATTGTTTCTACATCCGCTCTAATCTCATCCCCTTTTCCGATTAATACGGGGTAGGATATCTATCGTTCCAACTCGACTTTATAGATAAATCTCGAAAGTACGCCTACCGACCGAAACCGCTGGTGTTACTCTTGTAACAATTTATGAACCAAAGATTCGTACAGAGGGTATCTACACAAATTTCACTCAATTTTATACTACGCATGTCGTCAGATTCTCGCTTATGGTTAAGGGTACCTACTCAAGTGGGTAGTGAAGCTCCGAGCTATAGTTTAATTTGATGATGAGGATACAATGGATTATGCAGGATGTTACTAGTTAATACAAAAGTATAGGAGTCTAGATGCTTGAAGAACAAATTTCCAACTGTTCAACAACGTTAGATATATTTATTCGTATTCGTCCCCACCAATGATATCCTTGCGATTGACATTTGACAACTGTCTGGAAAAGATTCGTACTTTCAATCCGCTCAATGTGCTACAATTCAGTCCAAAAGCATTCTACATAGCTTGCTTATCTTCCACTCTCAGGAAAAGTGTCAGCTCAGTGAGGTCTGGTCTTTTGACAATATCCTCAAATTATTGGATCATGGTTTCGACCATCTTACTTTCTACCACTGTGGTCGTAAGTGCTTTTGTATTTTACCAATATCGAATTCTACAGCGACGAATCGAGGAAGCCAAAAAATCGCGGTTTAAATATGTTATTTCTCAGTAAGTCCTTCCCCATAGCGTAAAAATATCTGCTTGCTGAAGAACATTTATGTAGAGTATACTTCCAATCGATACCATGGATCATCTTCCAAAATATCTTTTAACCATTTCTTTCCAGACTTCCCAGCAAATGGACTCAAGTCATGGCTCCCAATTTCAAAATGGGGCGAGACCTAGCATAAAGGCTATAAGCCCTTCAAAAGAATGAATGATGATTCGATAATGATAGTTTCCGCAGGGAGGAATATACTCTGGACATGCGATCCCGAAGTTATCATGCAGGTGTCTACCCGACGCAACGATTTTGTTAAGCCAACTGAAATGCTTGATATGCTCAATGTTTCGGGCCTACCATCACCATGCTGAGGGCGAAGAGCATCGGGTCTTCAACAAAGTCGCTTCACCATCCTTCAATGACAAAAACTTTCAGGCGGTTTGGACAGGTGCTATTGAGCAAACTGAGATGATGACGCAAAAGTGGCTCGATGATAGCTCTATTTCCGATCTCAATAGCGATGCCGCAAAGCTCATTTTGCATATCATCAGCAAGGTATTCTGTGGAAAGACAATCACATAGACGGAGGATGATGAGAAACCCGGTCCAGGGCATACTTTGACTTATGAACGTGCAATAAGTAACGTTTTCGAGTACAACAGTACTATATTTCTAACCCCTCGACCAATTCTCAGTAAGTCATTTCAGCACCTCTACCTTTCCGTGCACACCAAGTTGTAAAAGATTATTGCCCCTTGAAAATCCACAAAACCGCAAAGGAAGCATTCATAGAATGGGGAAGATACATGGAAGAGATGCGAGACAGCACCGCCAAACATCTCCAAACTCAAGATCTAAAAGAAGAAGGGACTCTCCTCGAACACTTTGTGAAAGACGGTACGCCCGGACTCAGCAGTCCTGACCTGTCGATCCCTGAGGCTGCGATCCTCAGTAACATCTTCATCTTCATTCTAGCGGGCCACGAAACGAGCGCAAATATCTTCACATACCCTGTGATTCTTCTCGCATGTAGGCCTGAATTTCAATCATCTCTGCAAGAATAACCACACCTTTGTCGTCAGGAAAATCATGAAGAACTTGTCGGATATAATATGCTCGAGCTCCTATTTCATAGAACCTTAGTAGATGGCGATCTAAACCCGATTCCTCACGATTCGGATTTAGAATTGAAAAAAAAAATCTGAAATTACCTTTAACAAGCTGTTCATCAAAAATATCATGGGCCCAATACCCAATCCCCTCATTTCAACCCGCACCACCAATAATATGCTCCAAATCCTGCACCACAAATCCCCTCCAGCTTCGGATACGCAGCTCTAAGTGCAACAGACTTTTGCCCATACCCGCCTCCGACATCCACCCACAAAGCCGAAGCCGAACTATCGCCCTCCGCCAAAAACCTAGCGATCGGGAAAAGGTCCTGCACCAGCGAGGTTCCCTCCGCCCCGGTACTCATCAGCGACGCGAATGCCTGCGCCGTCTCGGGTTTCTCCCCCAGAAGCGTGAATAATCTTTATCTTGATAATGAAACGCAATCTGCACCGCTGTATTCTGCGGATCCGTAAGATTCTTGTATTTTGTATCCGCGAGAGAGTCAGGTAGTGCTAAGTACGCTGGGCCCAGAAAATCAGCACAGCAAAATCTCGAATTAGCTTTTGTTTACCAGAGGTGGGTAGTGCTCAGAATCACCAAATCAGGATTCTCTCTGTGAAATTCGAGTCTGCAAATAATGCATAGGAAAATGATAGCGTATAGTATTGTCCATCCTCTTTAATCGCGCCAAAGCAGCTCAACAACGGAGGAGACGTGCTTTCAAGTTTCCATATTAGTTTAGAATATAGTACAACCATTAGGGTACTCATACCAAGCAAATAGAATCTGCTCCAGTAGCCTGCGCTAACTCCTCCGATAATTTTGCTCTGGTGGAGAGGAGATGGAAGAGATTCAGATCCCATGCGATACGAATCCAGATACTTTCTACAGGCTTGATATATCATAAATTTCAGCGTGGATATCGAAACAATGCTAGAATAATTCACGAAATAGACATACCTGAGAAAGTAATACTCTTGCAAGAGTACCAGCGGGTGTCTCTAAAACAAGCGATAAATCTCGAGCCGCAAGACGTAATTTCGTTCTCAGGATATGATCTCCAAGGAGTGGAGCAATCGGATTGGATATGAGGGTTTCCAGTGCGGAGAGGATAGCTTCGGGGGATAGAGAGGCCATGACAAGTGGAAATTATACTGAATGAATCATTAAAAACAGTAGGATGGAAAAAGTAGTAGAATAGGCGTGGAAAATAATATTCTTGTGCGAATTAGAAATCTAAGATATCTTGCAGCATAGCCAGCACCCTGTTGGAAAAGATACTAACCAAATGATAAGATTACTTTTCTATGCATTCCGCTCTTTTAGAAGAATATTGCTATGTTAAACAGCAGCACATACATGATACCTATGGGCAAACACATTTCACGGAAACTCTTTACGGGAGATAGCTCAATAGAAATGACAGGGAGCAATATATCCCAGCACAATGTATCCAAGCTAATTCCAGCAATTCACGAATCAATTAATTTGACAACCGACTACCGAGACGTGCAGTGAAGATCAAGGGATATGTGTATCCCATCACATATATGTATTATCAAAGCAGATACCTGGCGACGAAAATACTACTATTAAAAGTGTAACTTTATCTTTCTGTAGATATGTATGTACTGGCTGGCTGATCGAAAGCCTAAGGCATAATACAATATGAAGGCAAAAAAAAGAATGATTATAAGCAACAAACAGCGGGACTAAAAATCCTACGCACTCACTTACAGGATAATCCATAGTAGATTCCTTCCCCCTTCAAATATACAACCACTATATTTCCTTTCGACAAACCCCAATCAACCTCCCAATTCCCACCCTCCCTCTACCCTATCCATCCCAACTTACCTCCTGACTCCACTCACCCCTTCCCACCTCCTCTCCACCCCCCAAGACCTCCTCCACCTCCCCATCCAAACAGTCACACAACTCCTCCCCACACCCTTCCTCCACCTCCTGTCCATCCTTCCCAATCAGCACCGGTAAATTTTCATTCAATCCATTCCTCAAATGTCCTATCTTTCCAAACCTCACATTACAAATGACGAGCCAACGAACTCGAAATGCACCGGCGCTCTCCCAATTGATTGAGTTTTGCCAGGAAGGGACTTCGATCGCGCCAGGGAGGGTTTCCATCCTCGCCTATCGGTTTAGCATGATGAGTTCGGGGAGCTGGGGAAGGAAAGCTGGAGAGGGGATACACACATAACCTTGAAAAGCTCGACTTTTATTGATTGAGAAGATAAGAATAACGTTTTTGCAGGTCTCGAAGGCTTCCTCGAAGATGGGTCCATTTTGTGCTTGGGTGGTCCATATACCCTTTTGGATATTAGCCGAATCGGTCTTCCTTGCTTGCTTCTAATCCACTTACATCTTCTATACATTTAATAACATTTTCATCATTGAAAGATTTTACTATGAAATATCTTGTATCTGATAGCGTCAGTATGTGAACCTCTTAACCCTCCTCAGAAATATCCCATAACTATTGGCAGACACTCGTCACTCAACTTCACAGCAAACAAGACAGTGAATCTAATAGAATACTTTTTTACTAATTGCATGGGTATCAAGAAAGCGCTACTAAAGCAATCTCTATTGACTTGAAATAAGATAAACAGAAGTGTCGGACGAGATGGACGATTTTCACTGACCACCTTTCCCGCCTCGATCAAAACCTCTTGGATCTTTGTAAGGTTTGCCAGGAGCATTTCGCGATCCAAATCCAGCTTCACTTCTTGACTCGTGCGACTCCCAATTGCCACGGCCTCTTCCCCGACCTCCCCGGCCTCGATAATTTGGATCAAAGGCCTTTCCTCTGTAACTTCCATGTACTTCAAAAGATCTTTCGCGTGCAGTCCGTGCAGGGGGTCTGCTCTCAAAGGTCCTTGAACCAGGGGACACTTCACGATCATTGCTGCGGCTTCGACCACGATTACGAGACTCTTCAAAATAAGAACGACCTCCACGTTCACCATTGGCGCGGCGAGAGGAATCATAGTCTACTGAACTTTGTCGACGGCGGTTTTCATGTTCTCGATCCTCAAGGCGTGCTACTTTTCCATAGTTTGCCTCCCCTTGAAAATCTTGGACTTCACTGTAGTTGCGCTTGTTAGATGTCAAACGATCACGAAGATCTGTAGGCTCCGCTACCGCTGGTGTATTCTGAGGTTGTATTAGGCTGTTCATCAAGTTTCCTACGTTAAAATTGACAAGACTTTGACCATCTTGTATACCTGCTAAGAGTTTCGCTTTTTGATCTTCCAATTCCTTCAAAGCTCGTGCAGTTTTCAAGAACTTGTTTCTGTGTGCTACATCATGATATTGTGTCATGTCTAGCCATTCCCTCAAATCACTGTCATGGGGTAAAACTTGTGCCAGTGTTGGCGGTTTAGACTCTCGTGAAGATTTGACGTCTTCCTTCGCGGCCTCGGGACGGCGATAATCATCATTATCATCACGAGAAAATCTGCGTGGGTGATGTTTTTTGTCAGTGTCTTGATGCGACTTTTTTTCATATCTATGATCGGAGGTTGGGTTTCTCTCTGACCGATAATCGCCCTCTTCTCTGCGTTCGTCTCGAAAACGAGGAGGTTCGGGTTTTGATGGCTGTGCTTGTGCTGGACGTCGAGGCAAGGGGCCAGGTTCTTCAGCCTTTACACGAATATAAGCTGGTCGAATCGTACGCTCATCTTGCGGTTTCAGAGACTTATCATTAACGTTAGCCGATTGTATATTGATCTGATTTCCTTTTGGCTCCGTGGGCGGAAGCTTCTTAGGGCTAGGCTCATCTAGTATCTCTCCTTCCGACATCGACCCATTTCTGACCTTCCTGGCTTCGCTCTCTGCTAGAAAAGCATTATTAGATCGATCACTGCTAGATTTCTTGATTTTTGTAGGAGTTCCCGAAGTTTGGGGGTTCGCCGATAGAATGTTTGTATTGATAGGAGGTGTTCTTTTGGCGGTACCATTTCCTGCTACAGGGTTTATTTTTGGTCCCGCTGTTGGTTTGGTTTCAGAATAATCAGAAATGAGGTCATTTATCTCCTTTTCCCGGCGTAAGTGTTCGTCGATATCTACCCCTTGGGCAGGACTATTAGTGGATGGTTGTAATGAGCTCGACGACTCTATGGCAATTATCTGTTTTGCCGGTGCAAGAACTGGTGGGGTAGCTGAGTTGGCTCGGCCTTCTTTTCCCTTCATCAATCTTGCTCTTAATTCGGCAGTCTTGGCAGCAAGCTGTTCTTTCGTCGGCGTAGGAGTAGGAGGAGCCACACTATTATTAGTTGAGTTCAATTGAGGGGAGTACTGGGCAGGTGGGTAAAGGTTAGCTGTATGCGCTTGCTCCCTAAAGTCCAAAGTAAAAGTTAGGTCGTCTGTCCCAAGCACTTACTGGTGGTCGATTGGGAGATATGAATTGATTTTGTGCGAAAGCTGCCTGATTGTACATAGGAATCTCGGGAGAGAAGCCATTGTAACCATCAATATTCATCTCATCATATTGTAATATATTTGGCTGTTGAAAGAAATTGGGGCCTGGTCCACCGCCAGAGAAAGGAGACTGCAGTGGTGTAGTTCCAGATAGATCATCTTGATTGAAATTGTTTGGTTGAAATTGTCCATTGTTTGGAAAGCCGTTATTTGTTGGCCACATAGCTGTAGCAAGAATTTGTCAAGTTGACCGAGTCTTTTGTTGAGTCCAAGGTTCGACGACTTGTTCTAAATTGGATATTTTATTTCTTTAGAAGTAATCTGTCAAGGATTTTTTTTTCTCGCAAACTATATCGAAAGACTTGTAAGAGTGAATATTCACTATGAATGAGTGACTGCTTGATCAACAGTGTTGTGGTACAATCAAATTCGATATTTGAAGTACTTGAACTTTGAAATATCATATTATGACGAAATAGCTTGAAAGACTTCTGCTTCTGCTTCTTGTTCTTGTTCTCCTTCCTTGAACTTTGGTGTGTGTGAAAGGCCTTTTTCACAAGTCTTCAGATATTAATTATAAAAGAAAGATCTGCTGAAAGACAGATAAAACGAAAAGAGTGGAAGTAGAAATGTAATAGTAGGTAGGTAGTAGTAAGTTGTTGTTTTTTTGGCTTGTTCAAAGGCCAAAAAGGTATTTATTCCATGGAAGTTGTAAGGTTGAAATAAAGTGCAAGCTTTGGTAAAAGTGGCAGGTGTGAAGTGTGAACACTTTTCGAAATATGCAGCTAGGTCCCAAACCGAGCTAGTAGGTAGGATGCCTTAGGCGGTTAACGACATGGAGATGAACCTGGTAGAAATTTATCTAATGATTGATGCAGCTTTCCGATTGGAATGGGATCATTCTACTTCGTACAATCATTCAGGTGTTGTGAACTTGTGATGGATGTACCTTTCTAATTGGGGATAATTTACTGATTAAAGCATGCAGTCTTCCGATTGGATACCATTAAATACCTGCGGGTAGGTATATCGTTTTTCCATTTCTCTTGTATTTGACGGCACGAGAAAGCTCATGAGTAGCCTACCAGACTTATTAATTATCACTTCCTTTACCATTCTTCTCATTTAAAACGTTCTAATAAAGTAGCGACATCATCCTAGCATTTACAAATTCCCAACTCTTGTTTCTATGTCAAGCAGGAGGTAAGAATGATGAGAACAGGCCACTCTGGATGCCGGCATATATTATCATGAACCTCCCAACCATTGTGACTGTTGGACCCTTTCCTCTCCCGACCAAAGCCGCAATATACCATAAATATACAGGAGAAGATGATGAAATCCTTGTAATAATCTGAACATGACCGCTTATCAACGTGTATACTGTGAGAATCAACTGTGAGAGCGCTAGATTCCGGATGATCTGGACTTTATCGACTTGCCGGGTCTCACCGACTGGCGGCTTGACATCTTTCTGAGGGGTGATTGGGGTTTGTTGGAAGTGAGAGTCCCGTAATACCCCATTGCCAGATACTCCCAAGATTACGAGCATAGGCATTGCAAGTAAAAACAGAGGTATATTTGAAATTGTCCAATATTTAAAAGGTCCATTATTCCTAGTGAATGTTAGATGCGCCCTGTTTTCCATCAAATTTATGACATACCAATAAAAAGCCTGCACAAAAGCATATATACTT